GGAAAAGTGAGCGATTTAGGAAAACAAAATGAGCACACACCAGATTAAAGAAAACCAACATGTAGCTCAAAGAGAGAAAGATATACAAGGAAGCATAGAGCGACGCACCTGCCAAAACGGAACAATAAGGACGGAGGCGGGGAAAAGAAGATCAGAAAACGAGCGGTACGAGAGAAATACTTAGAAAGGTGAACAACTAGAAAGACCTACAAACGATGCAACCAGAAAGCTTCAGAAAATGGCAAACAACCGGGCCAGGAGACAACGGAGTAGCGCACGAAGGCGCGTTTCAAGAATTCCCGCTCCAGCTGACAACAGCATTAAAAAAGAACAAACCCAGACGCCTCCAGGAAGACGTTACAACCACCTACCGAAATTCACTACAAGCTAAAGAACAATCCAGAGAACCAACCTCTAACACGAAACAAGCTGCGCAGAGAAGGAGCAGGGACACCTATAACTGAACCAAAGTAGGAGGAGGCAGCATAACGAAAAAGAACCAAGGACGGAGCAAAAACCAACTAGACACACATGTTGAAAACTAAATAGTTACGGCGAACGCAGGTACAAGAATGACACACAACAGATTTAGCACGGCTAAGAACCAGAAAATACCAGAGAGATGATTAGGCTCGAGCAAAATCAGAAAGCCGGGAAGCTCCACTTATGCGCATAAAAGAGTTAAAAAATGATTCGAAAGGACGTAAGCATCTCGCAGCAGCGCGCGAGTACCACCAAACTCAACGGTCGAATAATCATGACAGGAGACTGGCACACGATGTTCCTGAAGCACAGAACTGCCAGCCTACCCATAGTTGATACAATATTAGTGACACATCGCTACTCTTTTGAGACAAGTACTCGACTCTTTAGCGGAGGAGTAGAGTCGAACAGAGAGATCGCGAGCTAGCTCACCAGCACACGGCAACAACTACCTTGGCCTTGTTAAAGCAATCACTTCTGCTTCAGAACCGCGCCGAGGTAGACTGGGGCAACCTACAGCATCGCATGGCCACCGGATGCCAGCTACCAGTCAGTATCTAGCTATACATAAACCTGCTATAGTCGCTCAGGATTGGCCGATATTTCTTTCGACGGTACAGCCATAGAGAATATTGATCAAGTAAGAGACAGAAGTCACTGCTCTTGCTCAGGTGCGCTCTAAGATTAGAAAGCTCCACTGACTTGACGCATCCTCATAGCCGCGCGCCGCGAGCAGACCCGGCTAGGCACTTACAAGGTCGAAGCCCCACGCAGAAACCGACGCAGAATAGTATACAAGCATAGAAATCCGAAGAGACAAAGAAAATTTGATGAGATGCTGGCTAGCTCTGAAGAGATAAACTCCCAGTGAGCATCCGACTCTCACTGACAAGAAAAGCCCCTAGACCCTGCATGGACATTCACTGACTGAATCAACACGATCAGGAGTATTATTTAGTTTTGTTATCCCTAAATGTAAAGGAAACATGCTTCCTGTGCAAGCTGAAACGTGGTAAAAAAAAGTTGGAATCTGGCTGGGCACGTGGTCAGCGCGCCAGTAATCCTAACGGAGCATGGAGAGATAGCTCCAAGGTCAGGAGTTGAAACCAGCACTGAGCAGAGAGCAAAGACACGTCGCTACTACCATACAAATAGAAAGAAATTAATTGGCACCAACTAAAAACAACATGCTAAAATATATAGAAAAATTAGGCATAGGTTCGGTACAAGCCTGAGCAGCTACTCGGGAGCTTGAGACAGAAGGATGGCTTGAGCCCAGGAGTTTGAGGTTGCTGTGAGCTAGGCTGACGCCACAGCACTTTAGCCTGGGTAACAGAGTGAGATTCTGACTCGAAAAAAAAAAAACATTATTTTTACAGACAGAGTCTTACGTTTTTCCCTAGGCTAGAGTGCAGTAGCATGATCATACTTCACTGTAACCTCAAACTCCTGGGTTCAAGCAATTCTCCCACCACAGCATCCCAAGTAGGTGGGAATACAGATGTGTGCCATCATGCCAGACTAATTTTTATATTTTTGTAGAAACCAGATCTTACTATGTTGCCCAGGCTGGTCTTGAATTCTTGGTCACACAAAATTTTCTTGCCTTGGCCTCCAAAGCACTAGGATTATGGCCATGAGCCACCATGCCTGGCCTTCAAACATTTAATGAAAAATAAAAGCTAATCCTTCTCAAATTTTTCCAAAAATATGAAGGGGAGGGAACATTTCTTAACTTATTCTATGAGACCAGCATTACTCTGATGCCAAAGCCAGGCAAAGACACTACAACAAAACAAACTACAAATCAATATCCCTTGTACACATTGATGCAGAAATCCTGAAACAAAAATTAGCTGGCAAAATTCAGCAGCATATTAACAGGATTAAAAACCATGATCAAATGGGATTTATTGCTGGAATGCAAGGATGCTTCAACATGTAAAAATCAATCACATTAACAGAATGAAAGGGAAAAAAACCAACCACATCATTTTATCAATGGATGCAGAAAAAGCATTTGAAAAAATCTAACACCTTTTCATGATAAAAACTCTTAACAAACTAGCAATATAGGAAAACTACCCTAACAGAATCAAAGCCACATATGAAAAATTCACAGTGAAAACATCATACTCAATTAATAACAATTGAAAGTTTTTCTCCTCTAAGATCGGAAACAAAGCAATGTTTCAGATGCCTGCTTTCACCACTTCTATTCAACACAGGACTAGATGTTCTAGACAAAGCAATTAGGCAAGAAAAAGAATAAATGGCATCCCAACATAAAGAAAGAAGTAAAATTATCTCTATTTACAGATGATATAACCTGACACATTAAAAACCCTAAAGATTCTACCAAAAACTGTTATAATTAACAAATGAATTCACCAAAGTAGTAGGATAGGAAGTCAACATACAAAAGTCAGTTGCATTTCTGTATATTAACATGAACAATCCCAAAAGAAAGTTATAAAAAATTTCCATTTATAATAGCATCAAAAAGAATAAAATACTTAAGGATAAATATAATAAATACTTAACCAAATAAGTAAAAGACTGATACAAACTATAAAACATTGCTGAAATAAATTAAAGAAGATAAAAATAATGGAAATATATCCCACATTCATGGATTGGAAGCCTTAATATTGCTAAAATGTCAATACTACCCAAAGCAATCTATACATTCAATGCAATCCCTATCGAAATCTCAATGCCTTTTTTTATAGAAATAGAAATATCCACCTTAAAATTCATATGAACTCTCATGGGACCCCAAATAGCCAATACCATCTTGAAAAATAAAGCTAGGAAACTCACATTTCCTGATTTCAAAAATCACTAAAAAGCTACAATAATCAAAAGAGTGTGGTACTGCATAAAACAGATATATAGACCAATGGAATAGAATAAAGAACCCAGAAATTAAACCTTCACATAAATGGTCAAATAGGTGTCAAAACCATTTGGTGGGGAAAGAACATATTCTCTTCAACCAGTGATCCTGGGAAAACTGAATATTTACACGCAAACAAATGAAACCAGACCCTTACCTAATACCACATACAAAAATTAACTCCAAATGGATCAAAGATACCAATGTTAAAACTAAAAGTATAAAAATCTTAGAAGAAAACATACAGTAAAAGCTTCATTGCATTAGATTTGGCAATGATTCCCTGGATATGACACCAAAGGCATAAGTAGCAAAAAAAAATTGGACTTCAAAAAAATTTTTAAAATTTAAAAAATTTGAGCATGGAAAGATGACATCAACAGAGTAAAAAGGCAACCCACTGAATGGGAGATAATATTTGCAAATTATATATCTAATAAGGGATTAATATCCAGAATATTTAGAGAACTCCTAAACTCAACAAGAAAAAAGAAAACAACTGAATTAAAAATGGGGCAAAAAACTCGGATATTTCACCAAAAAAGATACACAAATGACCAATAAGTACATGAAAAAATGCTCAATATCACTAATCATTAGGAAAATGCAAATCAAACTATAATGAGACACCACCTCACATCCATTAAGATGGCTATCATAAAAAAAAAAGCCCAAATACAAATGTTGGTAAAAATTTAGAGAAACTAGAAATTTATCCCACTATTGGTGGGATTGTAAACTGGTATAACCACTGTGGAAAACAGTATGGTGGACCCAAAAATATTAAAAATAGATTTTCCATATGAACTAGCAATTCCACTTCTGGGTATATACCCAAAAGAGTTAAAAATTAAAAACAGGGTTTCAAAGAGATATTTTTATATCCATATTTATAGCATAATCACAATAACTAAAACATGGAAGCAACCCAAGTGTCCCTAAGTAGGTGAATGAATAAGCAAAATGTGGTATATATGTATTATAAAATATTAATTACTCAGTCTTAAAAAGGAAAGACATTCTAACATATGGTACAATATGGGTAAAAGTTGAGAACATTATGCTAAGTGAAATAAGCGAGTCATAAAACGACATATACTGTTATGATTCCAACTCATATGAGGTACTTAGAATAATCAAAATCATAGACACAGACATAGTTGCCAGGGGTTAGCGAGAAGGGGAAATGGACAGTTATTATTTAATAGATATAGAACTTCAGTTTTAAAAGATAAAAGAAATTGTGGAATTGATGGTGATGGATGCATAATGTTATGAATATAATTAGTAATACTGAACTGTAGACTTAAAAATTGTTAAGATGGTAAATTTCATATTATATGTATTTTATCATAATAAAAAATTTGGAAAAATGTATATTTTTTCTATTAATTAGAATCAAATAAGGAAGTTCTGAATTTCTCAAAAAGTATGATAATATGATCTTGGTTAAATACACAGGCATTACAAAGATAGCTTCAACTTATAGCAATATATCAAAAATCTTAACATAAACTAAGTACATTTTTATAAAACCTTCTAACAATTATTTTGGGTGATAAAATGAGAAGGAACTAAAACAGTAACAATTTTTATCAAAAATAGAAGAACACAATACCTTGGAGGCACGAATCTGCCTGTGAATATCTGTTAGTTGTTGGATTTTGTATTCGAGCTCTGAAATCTGGGCTTGAAGCCAAGTCCATCGGCTGCCAACTCTTGCTCTGTCTACAAGCCACTTCCATTCAGTACTACAGTTACTGTGAACAAGACAAACACTGTTAGTCAAAACACAAAGGCAATCAAATTTTCACAGACACTGCTTAATAACTTCCTTGACTCCTATCATAAAATACAATTTCCTTTACAAAACATCTAATTATATGAAGGGAGAATGGCAGATTGACTTCTTATAAGGAAAAAAAAAAAGATTTAATTTCCTTACCTTTCCAGCCCATAAATACCTGTTTTTATTCAGTATTATGCATCATGTAGTAGGATAATTCCTCTGCTACTTAGAGCTTTATTAATGCTGAAGAGCTTAAATAGGGATGGGCCAGCAAAGACAAGTAAACATGAATAACAATACTAACACTATGTTAATAAACACCGTTACATGAGATTTTTATATGTAAGTAGGTATCAATATTGGACAAGCCATTTGAACTGTACTAGATATAAATCCATGTAACAAACTGTAGTGTACTCAAATTTACTATATGTAATTTTCATTTGTTAAAACAGGCATCATTATTAGTTAATTAAATACTTAAAATCAACTTAGGGAAATTATCAAAAATTATTAAAAATATGAATGTTCTGCTATATTTCAAATAAGCCTACAAATATATGTCTTGCAATATTTGTTAAGATAAAGAACTTGTTAGAAGCCTGATTCCTAGGATTTACAACCCAGAGAGAATTTATATAAATCCTTTCATGCATATTTGAAAAAAAGGATTAAATCCTCCTAGTTCCTCTATGTATGACAAAGCACTGCTCTAATACATAGTTTGTGAGATTACAAATTAATTACTTGATGAAAATATTTCAATCACTCCAACTACAAAAAAATTATTTGGGATTACTGGTGGGGTAATGTGTATGTTGTGTGTGTTTGTGTGTGTGTGTGTGTGTGTGTGTGTGAGAGAGAGAGAGAGAGAGAGAGAGAGATTTAGGAGAGACAGAGAGATTTAGGAGATGCAGATTGCCAAGGGAAAATATGACAGAAATTGAAGGTAAAACTGAAGGGTAACAAGTACTTAATTACAAAACATATAAATGTTATTTTAAAAAAGTATCTAAAAATGCATTTATTGTCAAAACCTATGGAATGTACAACTACTGACATGATAAAGAGAACATTAGTGTATTCAAAATACACCAGCATGGATAATATTTAGTAACACTAAATGCCAATCATGAAATTAGAAAGGAAGGCAAGGGCCATAGCATGTAGTAACTTGCACAGGTGAGGATAAAGTGTTTGGACTTTAATTCAAAATGGAAACTACTGGCAAGACAGTAACAAAAAATTTTTTCCAAGCACTTTGGCTACTAAGTAGAGAAAGCATCATGGTGGGATATGAGAAAAAAGAAGGAAACTAATTAAAATGTAAATATAAGTGCCTGATATGTTTAATTTGATTAAAAATATATATATAAAGAAATGAAAAAATATTGTAAAAAAAATTAAAATGTAACTATAACAATCTGGGTATGGTACAAATAGTGGTCTCCAAATATTTCATGTGTTGCCCTACATTTCCCAGCCTCATTTGCACTTAGGTTGGAGCCATGTGACTAATTTTCACCTGGGCTGTGAGGAAAAGTGACATTGTCATTTCCAGTCTACCTGAGGACCTTCAAAGCCACTAGTGCAGGTAGTATAGTTATAAGATTGAGGAGGATCATAGTCCAAACCACATTGGACTTTATGTAAACTATTGTAGACTTCTGCTAAGTTAAACCACCAAGATTAGAAGACTAATTTGTGACTTTATATATAGCCTATTCTGACTAAAATACTGAATATCAAAATGGCTTAGGCTGGGAAGTGGAGGGGAGGATAAAGAAGATATGTAGCTAAGAGGATACATTTAAGGAACATTTTAAAGCTGATAGGACTTACAGAAACATGGTCTGGAAGCAAAGGGAAAACAAAGATGATCTTACACATTCTTTAAGCTCCAGTTGGAAAATTTCCCTATAACATGCAATCTGGCTTGGCTATCAAACTGATGATCAGCTAATGGTCAAATATAATAGAGAAAAAAGAAAATTTTCATAGAGCTCATATTATTATACTTTTGATAAAAATATTCTGATACTGAAATTAGGATTACAAAAATCATTTTTATACTCATAAACTGCATTAAATTATACTAACATAGAAAAATAGTAATCCTAGATTAAATTTAAGTAAACTAAATCATACTTTCTAATGTGTGAAATAAATTTTCTGTTAAGGATAACTTATTCTACATTTTAAGTGAATAAAATCTGTTAGCTATGCTTAAAAGTGATAAGCAAACTTTCTCACCAAAAATGTTCCCTTGCTTGAAAACATGTTTTTCTCAAAAATAATTACAGTTGTAAACATGTTACAGATAAACATATGGCAACTTGCTCAAAGGAGATTAACACCTGTTGTATACTAAAGTCAAAATGTTTTATGTAAACAACTTATATAATCAATGATGCAAATGGTTTACATAACTTAGAGTGTAACCAATCAGAACATAACAAATGCAACAGCAAACCCTTAGGAATGTGAGGCATACTCAGTGTCCAGACTTCCCAAATAGCATAGAAGACTGGTCTGCTAGACCACTAAGAATACTGCCTCCCTGCATCTCTCTGGACTGTGTTAAACTGCTCATAGAACACCACATGCTGAACATAAGGTGGGGTTCCTACCTCTAATAAAGATCAGGGCAAAGACATAGAGTAGAGCCCACCTGGACCAGTGGTCCCCAACATTTTTGGCACCAGAGACCAGTTTCATGGAAGACAATTTTTCCACAGCTGGGGTTGGGAGGGAAGGGCTATAAATACAGATGAAGCTTCACTACCTCACTTGCCGCTCACCTCCTGCTGTGTGGCCAGGTTCCTAACAGGCCACAGACCAGTATAATTTCTGTTGGTACTAACTACTTGTTGATATAATGACCCAACTCTGCCACTGTAGCACAAAAGCAGCTATAGATGATACATAAATGAATGAGTGTGGTTGTGTTCTGATAAAACTTTATTTAGAAAAACAGGCAGCAGGCCAGATTTGATCCTTGGGCTGCCGTTTTCCAAATCCTGATGTAGAGCATCTTTTCATATGCTTCTTATGCTACCCAAGGGCCTACAACTTTTTTTGATGATGCGCCTATTTAGATATGTAATTGGATTACCTTATTATTGATACATGTCCTGTATCAGACTATATCTATTAGAAATACTTTGTCCCAGTTTATAGCATGCCTTTCTCTTTGTAATGGTGAATTTAGAGAAGTAAATTATTATAATTTTGATGAAGCCAAATTTATCAAATTTTCTTTTTATGGTTAGTTCTTTCTGAATCTAAGAAATCTTTGCCTAACACAAAGTCATGAAGATTTTCTCATGCCTCTAAAACTTCAAGAAGTTTTAGAGTTTTGGCATCTAGATCTATGATTTAATTCAAGTCAGTTTGTGTGTATGGTGTGAGGTATGGATCCAGATTCAGTATTTCCTGTAGGAAATCCAGTTTCTGAACCATTTCTTGAAAAGATTCTATTATCCTTTAACAAATAGATCTATTTACCTATTATAGTAGAAAAACACTCTAATAGATATAAGATTGTCTCTGAATACTATATTTGTTGCCTATACACATACAAATACAACCCCTACCCATTTAGATAGCTATCTATTATCTATGTCAACACCTTATGTAAATACCGTACTACTATTATAGTTGAGAGTAATTCTTGAAATCCAGTAGTGTAAATTCTCCATTGCTGTTCTTTCTTGTTTGGACCATTCTACATTTGAGAATAAGCCTGTCAATCTCTACTCAAAAACAGAAGAAAACAAGACAAAAAAACTACTAGCATTTTTATTAGGATTGCATTAAATTTATATATCTTTGGTGGACAGCTGGCATCCTAAAAATACTGGGTCTTCCAATCAATGTATACAGTATATATCTCTGTGTATTTACATACTGTCAATTTCTCTTAGCTATGTTTTGTACACTTTTAAAAATTTACTTTTATGTATTTTAATTTATAAATGCTGGAATATAGAAATATACTCAATTTTTGTATTTTGACTTTATACTGTGACCCTGATAAATTCACTTGTTTTAGTAGCTTCCTTATACAGATCATAGGATTTTCAATGTATATTGTCATGTAAACTGCAAATAAAGACATTTTGACTTATGTCTTTATAATCTGGATGCCTTTATTATTACCCTTATGCACTGATTAGAAAGGAACTCTAGTATAATGTGAATTATATATTGCAAAGAAAGCATCCAGTCTTTCTCATTAAATAGTTAGCTATAGATTTCTTGAAAATGTCCTTTACCAGACTGAAAATTTCCATCTATTCCTGGTTTGTTGTCAGTTTTCATCATAAGTGGATTTGAATTTTTGTCTTTTTTTTTTTTATATCTATGGTTATATTGTTTCTCTTTTTCCTTTAATTTTTGAATATTAAATTAGCCTTGTCTCCTGGTATAAATTCATTTGGTCGTGATGTATTTTTATATTTTGCTAGACTCTACTTGGTATTTCATTAACAATTTTTGTTTTGTTTTTGTATTGATAGTCAAAGAAGATATGGATCTGTTGTTTTCTTGCAATATCTTTGCCTGGTTTTGGAATAAAGCTAATGCTTGCCTCATGAGTTGAGAAGTATTCCCTCTTCCTCTATTTTTGAAGGAATTTATGTAGGATTAGAATTATTTATTACTTACGTTTCAATAAAAGTAATCAGTGAAGCCATCTGAACCTGGAGTTTCCTATGTGGGAAGGTTTTAAATTATTCAATTTTTCTAATTGATACAGGTTTTTCAGGTTCTCTTGTGTCTTTCAAGCAATTAGCCTACTTAGTCTAAATGGCTAAATTCATTGGCATGTAGATATTCAGGATAGAGTTATTCCTTGGTATCCACGGGAGATTGGCACCAGTATCTGACCCCCACCAACCCCACAGAATACCAAAATCAGCAGATGTACAAGTTCCTTATATAAAATGGTGTAGTAGCTGAAAATAAGCTATATACATTCTTCTGTATACTTTAAATCATGTCTAGATCACTTATAATACCTAATACAATGGGTTATGTAAATGGTTGTTATACTGTATTTTTTATTTGTATCATTTCTTACTATTATATTGTTTTTATTTTTTTCTCAAATATTTTGATTCAATTGGCTTAATCTGTGGATGCAGAATCTGTGCATACAGAGGATTAACTGTATTCCCTGATTCTCTATTAATGCCTAGAACATTTGTAGTGATGCTTTTCTTTCCTGCTATTAGTAACTTTCTTCCTGATCAACCTAGCTATAAATTTATAATTTTCTCCATTGTGTTTATGCTTTATAATTTCAATGATTTCAATGCTTTATCATTTTTTCCTTCTACTTGCGTGGGTTTAATTTGATATTGTTTTTATAGCTCCTTAAAGTGGGACATTTAGAACATAGACATTACATCATTCTTCTTTTCCAAAATAAGCACTTATAGGCATAAATTTTCCTAATAACAGTGCTTCAGTAATTAAGTAGCTACATCCTACAAATTTTGACATGCTGCATTTTAACATCATTCAGTTCAAAACATTTTATAATTTCTCTTGTGATTTCTTCTTGATCCATGAGTTATTTAGAAATGTGTGGTATAGTTTCTACAAATTTTAGACACACATATTTACTGTTTCTTACCATTTCTTTTCTTTGAGATCTAAATTTTTGCCCAGTATGTTTTCCTTCAGCCTGAAGATCATCTTTTAAAATTTCTTTAGTGCATGTATACTGACAATTTTTCTCTGTTTTTGCTTATTCGGAAATATAATTTTGTCTTGTTTTTAAAAATATTTCACTGGGCAGAGAATTTTAGGTTGACTTTTTTTCCTCTTTCAGCACTGTAAAATATATCATTCCATTTTTTCTTTTTTTCTGGCTTACATAACTTCTGGTGAGAAGTCAGCAATGATTTTTTTTTTATTTGTTAACCATTTATTTTGAATGCCTGTTTTCCTGTTAAGCTAAAAAAGTAGTTTTCATTTCAGAAACTTAATTTTTCACTTCTGAAAGCTCAATAGTTCTTTCTGACATCTTAAATTTCTCTCATTATGTTCATGTTTTCCTTTAAGTCCTTGAGCATAATTACAATAGATATTTCAATATCTTTGCTGATTAATTTCATCATCTCTGTCACTTCCAGGTCTGTTTCTAGTTTTGATTTTTCTTCTGTTTCTTTGCATGTTTAATACTTGGACACATATATTGGACACAATACTTGGACACTTATATATATAAGTATATAAACAAATGTCTAATAGCTGGTTTTATATAAAGACATATACTATAGGTATAGGAATATTACATTGTTGAATGTGTGGGTTTTGTTGTCTTCCTTTAAAGAGTGATAAGTTTTGTTTTAGCAGGTTATTAAATTATTTGCTGTTCAACTTCATCAATTTTAGCTTACTTTCAAGTTTTGTTAAAGTAGGTATATAGTAGCCATTACACTTAGGTGGTCATTAAATAAGGGACGATGGATGGTCTAAGGGAAATAAATAGCAAATTAACAAGTCTGTAGGCTTAACAACTATGACCAGATAAGATCTGTGGCTGCGGTATTTTCACATATAACTGACTAGAGAAAAACAGAATGGAAATCTATGTTTCTGAGAGAACTCTATTGCCAAAAATCTAACACAAACTTCCCCTGGAAGCCTAATCTACCCCAACAGAAAGCAGAGTGAGAAGGTAGTCAGTGGAGCCTCTAATATGGGTAAATACCCACTTCAAATATAATCACAAAGAATAATGCACAAAGAATAATTCCCAAAGAGTAAAGTCACGGACAAAGGACAAGGGAGCTTCTCTCAGAAAGCAATATTAGGGTTCTGGTGAGATCTTGTTCCACTGCTAGAGCAATAAGTCTTATTATTATAAGGTGCAAGAACTGTCATGTATATCTATCCCATTCTTCTTTTTTCCCAATGGAAGTTTCTATTGTGATTTTCTTGTCCCTACTCCATCATACATACAAGCAGCAAGAGGTCAAGAGAGTTAAAAAAACTTGCTTATCAATTTATAGGTCACCATATCCTGAAGAACCACCTCGGGACCTGATGGAAAGGATTTTACTCCATCCACTGAATATGACTTTGGTTTATCATACTTGAAGAGTTGGTATGTTTTATGTACGAGAAGTACATGGATATTTGGGTGGCCAAAGAGGCAAATTGAACAGACTGCATATTTTCCCCTAACATCCATTCTCTTATACCTTTTGGATAATGGGACTCCTTGAGTTTTAGCTGAGTCCTTAACAGCTCAGCTAGACTTTATTTCCCAATCTTAAATGCAGCTAGGTCTGACTATATGTGATGAAGTCCTTGACAAGAAGCCAAAATGTGAGCCAAAATGATGTGTGCAACTTCTGGGTCTGGCCATTATAAATGACTGGTACATGATTAAGTCCTTAAAATGATTAAGTATGGAAATGACATGAAGTATTAGTGAATCTCAACAATACAGGCAAAGGTAGCATCCCAGAGGACAGCAAAACCAACAGGTCTCTGCTAAACCCTGTGAAACATCTAATTCTTGATTGTTAAATGAAAGGAAAATAAATTCTATATATTTATGTTGAGGTCTCTGTGTTAGGATAGCTTAGCATATGCCTTAACCAATATACCTCTCCCTCAAAAATATTTTATGCCATTAGGATCATTTGGATTAACAAATTCTTATAAAATGCTCATTGTCTTTAAGAAAATTAAGCCTTACTGATATACAGGTTAATAACTTTAATAATCTGCCATCTAGTTGTAAACATGTACACACACATTCATGAAATAAACAAATATCAAAATAAATAAATAGTCGTGAACTCTAGGTATTTTAGCACGAAGATAAAACAAATTAAAGGGTGTGATTTAGGATGTCTGAGGACAATCTAAGACTAGAACATAAAAAGAGTTCCAAAAGGAAGTATATATGAAAGGGAGTAAACACATCTTGATATATTATGCAATTTGCTTAGAACTCTGGCAGAACCTACTTTGTCAACTACCCAAACTGAAATTTTCAGTATTAGTTTAAAATAGTTCACACATCAGATGGACAAATTTAGTCTTGTTCTCCTGCTATCCCTCCACCCCAAAAACAGGAAGAAAAAGAAAAAAACGAGAAGTTTGGGAATTCTTATGCACTTTATCACTACTACCCCCTTTCTCTTGTATGGAAAGGATTTTGAAAGTTAATTGTCTATTAAATGGTCTTAAATGTGTTTGTAAAATCCCTCATATGACATCAAACATTGACAACTAGAGATATTTTTTTAAAAGGAAATACTGTAAATGAATTGTTAAACTAACAAAAATATATTTATTTGCTAAAGGAACAATCAGTTCAACAAGCATTATGTGTGTGCATGCGTGTGTATGTGCATTTATGTATGTGTCTCTTGTTCAGGAAGCCAGGCAACCATGTAGTGTTTTCAAACTAAACACTGCACAAGGGCCTAGCTAAAAGGGCAAGCAGAACTATTAATAAAATCCAAAAAGAGTTCTGTATTCCAAGCCCTGCAATTAAAGACCAAAATATGCTCAGAGGAAGGAAAATCTTTTTCTAATGCATGCAAATGGGCTAGTGTCGGCTCTGTCAAACACTATAATAGGCCCTGAAAAGAAAAAGGATAAAGGGTAATTCAAACTACCCGTTGCTCAAAAAGGTGACTACCACTAAGCCAGAATCGAGTAGAGGTGTTTGTGCTATAACACCATATATGCATTCCCGAATAACCTCATGTTCTGCAAAATAAAAATAGCTGGACTTACAGTGAAAATAGTTAGTGCCAGACCACTCAAAACCTATGACACTTTAAAATCTGAGCCCTAACAAAACAATAACGATCCTTATAAAAACCTTAAGTTTCCACTGGCATTTGTACCTAAAATAACAGTCCACTTTTAAAGCTTTATATTCTGGGGCTCATGCTTCTTCCTTTGATGTGGGTCCTTGAAGACATTCAGTCCTAATAGAGAACAGTTTAATAAAAATTAAAAATATCTCCTAGAGATAGCCTTTTCATTAATCAATTTATTTTTAACACAAGGGAAATGTCTTTAAAACATATTCAACTAAACTTGTATTTCCTCAGATCTTTTAAAATACAGAAATATATAGCAATTATTGAAACCAATAAACCATCAAATTACTTAGCTATACGAAGGTACTTCTACAGAATTTTCAGCATTTTCTTTAGATCTTAATATACTGCTAAGGGTTTCTCTTTAGTTATGAAAAAGCTTGACCCTAATCATTTAAAAGCATTAACATGTTTGAAATGGTTTGGAAACAATCCTCATGGTAGATATATACATACTGTGTGTAAAATTCCACATTATATTGACATTATCCCCCTATATGCCAAATGCATACACTAATTCACATTTAAAAAAAAAAGATGTAACAGAACAAAATACAAGCATTTTAAAAATATCACTAAGCATTAAATGAAAATTATTTTCAACAATCCTAAAGATAATATTATACAGTATGGTACTTGAAATGATACTGATGTTTACATGCAGGAATTTGAAATACTGCATTTCCTCAATGTCAATATGTCATTGATTTCAAGATAGACCATCAATTTAATAACAGAATTCCCTGGAGTGAAGGAATAATATAATATTAATTGTACATATCTATTATGGGGTACATCTCACTTTTAGAAACATTAAAATATGATAAAAAAATATGCACTGGGAATCCAAATGTTACATTGAAAGTGTAAATAAATCTTCCTGACCTATGCTTTTTTTTAAGATATGAAAATTTATTGTTTTTAAAAACAGTATTGATGATATCAATTCTATAACAAGACCACTTTTAGAAATAAACAGTATTTGCAGTGTTTAGATTTGTCTTAGAAAGTTTAAAATTGTGTTCATGATTCTTTTTATTATTTTAGCATATTATGGGGGTACAAATTTTAAGGTTTCAAATAATGCCCTTTCCTCCCCTCCCCCCACAAGTCTGAGCTTCAAGCATGACCATGCCCCAGACGGTGCACATGTCACTCATTATGTATCTATATACCCGCCCCCTCCTCTCCCTCCCACCTGCCCAATACCCAATAAATGTAATTCCTATGTGTCCACTTAGGTGCTGATCAGTTAATACCAATTTGCTGGTGAGGAGATTTTTAAAAATCTTTTTTAGCTTTTATTAAGGTACAAATGGCAAGTAAAGATTGTATATATTTAAAGTGTACAATACGATGTTTTCATATAATACATTGAAATGATTAAATCAAGCCAATTAACATATCCATCACCTTACATACTTTTTTTAATGGTGAGAACATTTAACACTTTGTATAGTGAGAACACTGAAAATATAAGGCAAAAATGCACTGGGTTGTGTCCCAATAAGCCCATTGTAAAGATGAAAAATTGTAAGTTGAACCATTGTAAGTCAGTGACTTTCTGTGCATATTAATTATAGTTACCATGCTGAAAATCGATCTCCAAAAATTATTCTTCCTATGTAACTGATACACACACATACAAACATTACATTTTCCTTATTCATTCATCTGTCCATGGACACTTAGGTTGATTCTATATCTTGGCTATTGGAAATGAATATGAATGTGGGAGTGCAGGTATCAATTTGACATAATGATTTCATTTCTTTTGGATGTATACCCAGAAGTAAGATTGCTGGATTATATGGTAGTTCTATTTTTAACATCCAGAGAAACCTCCTATTTTCCATAATGTCTATACTAATTTACTTTCCCATGAACAGTGTACAAGGGTTTCCTTTTTTTCTATATCCTCTCCAACACTTGTTATTCTTTGTCTTTCTTACAATGGACATTCTAACACGTGTAAGATGATTTCTCCTTTGCGGTTTTAATTGGTACTTCCATGATGATTAGTGATGTTGAACATTTTCTCATAAATCTGTCAGCCATTTGTAAATCTTCTTTAGAAAAAAGTATATTCAGGTCCTTTGTCCATTTTTTAACCACTTCGGTACCGCACTCACTGGCCGCAAAACCTTGCCCACAGCCAGCACTCATAGTCCCCACGATAGTTTGTGCTGTGCATTGAGGATGAATCCGTTTTGTTCTTGTGTGATGAGGAAAGCTTTAAAGCACTGAAAGCTTGTTTTACTTTACAGGCAGCTTTATTTGTAATGTAAATCAGAATAGGTAACATATACATATGTGTTTTCATTATGTTATTTTTTAAATGTTCACAATTTTATTTTGATAAATGAATAATCATAAAAGTCATATCACAGCTGTTGGATAAAGTCAATGCTTGGCTGTGTGCCTTCATATCACGGCTGTTGGCTAAAGTTGTTGTGCACGTTCATCTGTGGCTATCGACTATAGTTGACGCTGGTCCCAAAGTGGTTAATTAGGTTGTTTTCTTCCTGTTGAGTTGTTTGACTTTGTCTAAAGTATTAATGTATTAATATTAATTTAGACATTAACCGCTTATCAGATCTATGGTCTGCAAATATTTTCTTTCATTCTGTAGGTCATCTCTTCAAGCTGCTGTTTCTTTTGCTGTGTAGAAGTTTTTTAGCTTGATGTAATCCAATTCATCTATTTCTCCTTTTGTTCTCCATGCCTTGGAATGCACATCCAAAAAATCTTTGCCAACACCAATGTCAAGAAGCTTTTTACCTCTCTTTTCTTGTAGTAGTTTTACAGTTTCAGGTCTTATGTTTAAGTATTTAACTCACTATGAGTTTATATGGGAGTATGGAGTCAGATAAGGGTCCAATCTCATTCTTCTGCATGTAGATATACAGTTTTCTCAACACTATTGAAAAGACAGCCCTTTCCTCATCGTGTGTTCTTGGCAACTTTGTTAAAGCATAGTTGACCACAAATGTGTGGATTTATTTCTAAGTTCTCTATTCTGTTCCACAGGTATATACATATGTTTTTAATTCCATAGCATATTGTTTTGATTGCTATAGTTTTGTAATATATTTTGAAGTCAGGTAGTATAGTACCTCAAGCTTTGTTCATTGTGTACAAATTGCCTTGACTGTTCTGGGTCTTTCCTAGCTCTATACAAATTTTAGGATTTTCCCTATTTATGTGGAAAAAAGTCATTGGGATTTTAATAAGGATTATATTGAATCTGTAAGTCACTTAGGGTAGTATGGACATTTTAACAATATTAAGTCTTCCAATCCATGAACACAGGGTATTTTTCCATTTATTTCTGTCTTCTTCACTATTTTTCATCAATGTTTTATGGTTTTCAGTGTATAGATCTTTCACCACCTTGATTAAATTTATTCCTAAGTATTTCATTTTTATGCTATTATAAATGGGATTATTTTCTTGATTACTTTTTTGGACAGTTTCCTATTAGCATATAGAAACACTACTGATTTTTATATGTTGATTTTGAATCCTGCAACTTTACTGAATTAATTAATTCTAACTGTTTTGATGGAGTCTTTAAAGATTTCTATCTGAAGTATCTTATAAAGAACACATAGTTGAGTCTTTTTTATTATCATTAGTTATTCAGTGATAATATGTCTTCAGATTGAAGAATTTAATCCAATTAGATTTAAGGTAATTATTGGTAGGTAAGAATTTATTATTGTCATTGATTCATTATTTTCGATTTTTTAATGTAGATCCTTTGTTATTTTTTTCCTCTCTTGCTGTGTTCCTATGTAATTTGATGATTTTCTGTGGTGGTAAGCTATGATTTCTTTCTCTTCATCCTTTATGTACCTACTACAGGTTTTTGGTAACCACAAGGCTTACAAAAAACAATCTTATATTAATAGTTCTAAGAGTCTATTTTAAGCTGATAATAACTTACCTTCAGTCACATACAAAAACTATACTTTTACTCCCCCTCCTATTTTATGTTTTGAACATCACAATTTATATCTTTTTATATTGTATATTTATTTTATAACAAATTATAGCTATAATTTTTAATAGTTTTCTCTTTTAAACTTCATACTAAATATATAAGTGATTTACACACCACCATTACAGTATTAAGAGTATTCTGAATTGACTATTTACTTACTTTTACCAGTGACTTGTATATTTTCATGTTTTCAGGTTCCTAATTAGCATTCTTTTTCTTCCAGCTTGAAAAATTTGTCTTACCATTTCCTGTAAGGCAGGTCTAGTGGTGATGAACTCCCTTAGCTTTTGTTTGTCTGGCAAAGTCTTATCTGTCTTTCATTTCTGAATGACAGCATTGATGGGTAACATATTCTTGGTTGTTTTGTTTTGTTTTTCTCTCAGCACTTTGAATATATCATCCCACACTCTCCTGGTCTGCCAAGTTTCTGCTGAAAAATTTGCTGATAGCTTCCTGAGAGTTCCTTGTGAGAATCTTCTCTCTTGTTGCTTTTAAGAGTCTGTGATCCTTTCTGTGTCTGTGATTTTTAACACTTTAATTTTGGCATATCTTGGTGTAATCTTTGATTTGAATATGGTTAGAGACCTCTGACCTTCCTTTACCTGGATGTGAGTATCTTTCCTAAGATTTGCAGTTCCTACCACTCTGGGAGGCTCAGGTGGGAGGATTATTTGAGTTTAGGAGTTCGAGACCAGCCTGAGCAAGAGTGAGACCACATCTCTACTAAAAAAATAGAAAGAAATTAGCTGGACAAGTAAAAGTATATATGTAAAAAATTAGGCGGGCACGGTGGCACATGCGTGTAGTCCCAGCAACTTGGGAGGCTAAGGCAGTAGGATTGCTTGAGCCCAGGGGTTTGAGGTTGCTGTGAGCTAGGCTGATGCAACGGCACTCTAGCCCATGAAACAAAGTGAGACTCTGTCTCAAAACAAAACAAAACAAAAAAAATAACCTGCCTTTGAGTTCACAGATTCTTTCTGCTTGATCAAGTCTGCTTTTGATACTCTACATTGTATTTTTCATTTTCTTGATTTTATTTTCTGCTCAAGAATTTCTGCTTGGTTGATTTTAATCTCTCTGTTATACTTATTTTATTCACATAATGTTTTCCTGATTTTGTTGAGTTGCATTTCTGTGTTCTCATGTAGTTTGCTGAGCCTTCTTAAAATAATTTTTTAATTATTTGTCAGGCAAATTCATAGCTCTATTTCTTTGGGGTCAGTTACTGGAAAATTATTGTTTTCCTTTGGTGGTGTTATGTTTCCTTGGCTTTTCATGTTTTTGTTGTTGTTGTTGTTTTTGCATTAATGTCTGCATACTTAGTGTTGCAGTCACCTCTTTCAGATTTTACAGATTGGTAAAGTTTTTCACCAAAATGTGGGTGCAAGGACACAAGCTGGATGACATGTGACAGTTCTGGCTCCAGTGAAGGCATGGCAGTATGATCTCTGTACAGCTCTGTCAACTGATTTTGGCACTGGCAAAGATGGCAAGGGTCCTCAGCAGTCAGTGTCTAACGAGGCAGCAAAGACTATTGGGTACTTTGGTCATGAAGGCTCACGGGGTCCTCCTGATCTCTTATTCTCCCACCAGGGAAGCTGTGGCCACGGGAAGCTCTCTTAGCACTGGGTATGGCTTGCAGCATTGGTGGCAATAATGTCTCAGTTGTGGCATCTGTGAAGCTGCCACTGAGCTGGGATCTGGAGCACAGGCATTCATAGAGAAACCACTGCTCCAGCATCAGGGGCTGAGGTGGCACCCACATCTGAGGTGCAGGTACCCTCGATGCCACATTGGTAACTGTGTAAAATGTGATTGCTTGTGGAGAGTGACTGGTAACTGTGTAAGATGTGATTGCTAGGGTGCTAAAGCACTAGCATAAACAGAACTACAGTGGTTCCAGGGTCTGGGGCACAGGCTTAGTCGCTGTGATACCAGAGGTAGTAGTACCTGGAGTGCAGACACACAGAGAAACCACAGCTCCAGGGCTTGGGTACAGTTTAACCCACTGTGGCAGTGGTTCTGGTTTTTGAAGCATGGGTACATGACAAGCTACAGGGCTTCTGAGTTTTAGGAAGTGGGCTAGTGTGCTATGGTGGTGGCTGAGATGTCAGAAGCACAAGTGCTCAAAGAGTGGCAACAGAGCCAATGTCTGCAACACAGGTACATGCAAAGCACCCCAGGCTTCTAGGCTTTGGGAAAGGCTAGCCTAAAGCAGTGATGGCTCTCATGTATGAGGTAAGAGTGCATGTGGTATGACCACAGGGCCAGAGTCTGGAATGTGTACAGGTATGGAGCAGCCCTGAAGCCAGGGTCTTATGTGTTAGCATGCATGGGCAGCTGAAGCTCTGGAGTGTGGGGTGCATGTGGAGTTGGGAGGATGGTGGCCCTCATCCTGGAGTGGCACAATAGCAGCTCCATCTTGGTGGTGGTGGGGTGGGGCAGCAGTATCTTCTTCTGGAGTGTCTGCAGTGGTGATGGCTGTTGGTCACCTCAGTGGCAAAAGATGCTGGTGCTATCTGCAGGGCAGGCTCTGATGACCATGGTGGCACCCACCACATGCCTGATACTGATAGCTCCTGGCCACCTTCTTTGTTCTCCAGATGTCTCAGGTATGCTATCGCCTCAGCTACACTTTCTGTGTACTTATTCTCCATTTTGTTTTTTGCTCCACAGTGTTGCTTCAGGTTCTTACTTGGACCCTTGAGCCCTCCCAAAATGATTTTCATTCATGGATAGATGTCTATTCCTTGTTTATTGTGGGAGGATGAAGGCTAGTATCTCCTACTCTGCTATCTTGATAATATCATTCTCCCAAGCTGTACTTTCCTTGTCAAAACTAGGAAAACAAAGGTGGTCATTTCCTTCTTAGAAATAAAATTACACATTGCATAACTACTCCAAAGGGGCTTTACTGTTCTGCTTTCCCCATATAGCATATAATTGCCATTTTGTTTCTTCTATGAAGGTGATTTATTTTAAAATGAAAGTATATAAAACTTTTAAGTAACACATATTATATAGCAATTTCAAGGAAAATTAGTTTATTATAATCACCTATAGAGTTTCTAAACAACATGGTCCAAAAGAATGAGTTTCTGCGTCTTTCCCCATCCTGTGAAAATCAAGACAATAAAAACAATTATTTAATTTAGTCATCCCCTGATATATTGGGGCGAAGAAGTAAGGATTATGATTCACTGATTTAGAGGAAGATTTTTAAAAATGTATACATATACAAGCAATGTGATGCTTTTCTCATAGAAAAATGTCAACTTTATAGTAATACCTTAATTTTCCTTTTCTAGTTAAACAAAACACTTTTTCTAGTTTCTTTTGGTGACCTGAAAGTCAAAAATGCTTCAGTCAACTTAATTTTGGCCTAAGCCAGCTAAAGTCTTTAGATATAGTAGTACGGCCTAAAATTGAAGTTAGCTAACATCCCAGCTCTGCCATAAACTAACTTTATAACACTGAGAAAATATAGTAAACATGTTATCCTTTAAAATCACATTACTTGAAAAAAATGTCTTTTTAAAAATGAACTTATTTTAACTGAAATATTACTTTCCTCCAAGATGTTCACATGCTACAGAATAATATATTTCTTTACCGGTTTTTAGCTCCTAATCCATTTCACAATTATACTTTTGAATTGCTGCCCTTTACTTCATTTCTGCTTCTCCTAATGGAAAAGATTCTTCACTCAAGTAATCATTTGCAAGTTCTCTAGAATTGTTTTTCATTCATTTTTTTCTTTGTTTTCCTTACAAGTAAAATAAAATAAATAAAATCAAACTTCTCCCATCTATGTCAGAAGTATGGAAAATAAAAAAGATAATAAATGCAAAAACAATTTGTAAAATCCATATTATACAAAGTTACTCTTCTTTAAAATGTATTAATGGAATTTTATCGGTCTCTTTACCCTTTGAATCTCACACTGAGTTCCTACTTTTATTTATCCAGTTTCTCAAAAGGAAATACTATATCACTTAGCTCTTCAATTCTTTTCCTTTCCATTGGCAAAATAGAAAATCAAGAACAAAACTATGAATATTTCATATTTGTGAGTCTGTAAAAAATTACTTTGGCATTTTTTCTTTTTCAGCAGTCTGGAAAGATTCATTCAACTGCTCTAACTAAACATCAACAATTCTCCCTTATTTCTTGGTGAATGCCTAAATCTGTTGAAAAGAATTTTCTTATCAAGCCTGCATATCTATATATCTAAGTAAAAACTCAAAGAAAATTTGAATATATGGGGAGCAATTTGGGGAAATGTTGGAAATTTTTTCTCCCAATGTTTGAAACAATTGTGTTATTTGTAAGATACTAGTGGGCTTCCTGGAATAAGACAAGAAATTATGTTTCATCCTTTTCTGAAACCTTGGAAGACTAAAATATGTCTGTGTCAAAATCTGTGAGTTTCCCCAACATGCCATCCTGGAAAAAAGTACCTGATTATCATTCCCCAGGAAAAAAGAAAAGAAATGTTAGAATTCTAAAGCTTTACTATCACATGGTAGCATAATTGTAGAAGACTCTTGTCAGTGACCTACCCATATCCCTTCACATTTAACCAGTTCAGTGCACAGGGCCCTGACTTTCAACTGCCAGCACCTGTCTTTCTTTGACTAAGGTTTTCTTTTTGTTATTGCTGGAGCTTACTTTGCCACCCCAGTGGCAGAAGCAAAATGCCAGGTAATCAACCTTACCAGTAGCAACTTTCAACCAATAACTGATAGGAATTAGTATAAAAATACCCCCAATCCTCACCTCTCCAATGGGTTAACATTGAAGCATGTATTCTACATTGGCTCTTCAACTTTCCCCCAGCAATATGAAATTCCAGTCTTCCAAAATAGTTAAGTTGCTTAATAAGGCATCCTTTATTGGCTGCCTTATCAATGCCTTATTATGTATTGGCACTTTATATTTAATATTTCATCTAATTATCTCCAGAATTCGTTATGATAAATCAAAGATGAGGAATCTGATTCAGAATGGTTAAAAGTAACCTTGCTTAGGGTCACAAAGCAAGCCATGATTGTGACACAAGAACGTCCAGAGCCTGGGCTCCTTCACCAAAGGAAAAGAACATTGGAGGAAAATTCCATTCATATTACAGTGCAAGGACTATATCTCAAACCTACAAAAACCATAAAGTCCCCCTCTTATCCCTTCTGAAGTAAACTGACTTTTTTTTCTTCTACTTCTAATGCACACTAGCCTCTCAACCAAAAGTTATTATTAAAGTCTATCAGTAATATCATGATGAATTAATCTATTGTCTATATTTTTGGAGGGAAAATAAAAGAGGCAAGTCAAATATATATTTAAAACAACAGTGGAAATAGTAAAGGCTAATATGAGCACTTTCCAATTTCCTAAAACAATTATATTCCTTCACAGCTAATTTCCTGATTAAAATGAAATTTGTTTTTCTTTTTTTTTTCTCACTCTGTTGCCTGGGCTAGAGTGCCATGGCGTCAGCCTAGCTCACAGCAGCCTCAAACTCCTGGGCTCAAGCGATCCTTCTGCCTTAGCCTCCTGAGTAGCTGGGACTACAGGCATGTGCCACCATGCCTGGATGATTTTTTCTATATATTTTAGTTGGCCAATTAATTTTCTTTCTATTTTTAGTAGAAACGGGGACTTGCTCTTGCTCAAGCTGGTTTCAAACTCCTGACCGTGAGCAATCAGCCCGCCTCGGCCTCCCAGAGCGCTAGGATTACAGGCGTGAGCCACCGCGCCCGACCAAAATTTGTTTTTCTTATCAGGGTTATAATCTTAAGAAAAATAGAAGTCATATTAATAATAGAATGTAAGATTTTAAAGGTAAATATATATTTTACTTATCGATTAAAAAATTACAACTGTTAAATATTATAATAAAATTATACTTTTAAATGTCCATATTTTGTTCATTCAGTCATTGAACACACATTTACATAAGGTCTAAGATGTACAAGATACATCTTGTGGCCAGTTTGGTATTAGAAACAAAAGAAGAAAGTGAAAAAATTATCAAGTAAAGATAAAGCAACTCCAGAATGAAAGAAGAAAAAATCATATACACAGAAATTTCATAGATTGCCAACCCAAATTTTTGTATCTTTACAACTCCATGTACAAAACAGAAACATTCATTCACTAAAATACCAAGCCACCACTAAACAGAAGATAATACTAGTCTGTAAGTATACAAAGATAGAAAAAGTAGTATTTGCCCTCATGTTGCTTAAAATTAAGTTTAAGTCAACTTTAGTACTTGCCACTCTGGAGCTCATAAGTTGAGAACTCTTCATATTCAATATGAAAATTTAATTGTGTTGCCACTCAAAAATTTAGATCAACAAAATGTATCTTTTTACCTGCTCTTTAGGTTTAAGGTTTAATTCTGAAGCTTATACATCAAAAATATTCATTTAGATTTGAAAAAGTGAGTTTCCACAAATGCAGAGAAGAAAATAATAAAAATAAATTTAACAGAAGAAAAGTAAACTTATCAGGATAAATGTTTTAAATTTAAAAATGAGTTTAACCTAAAACAGAACTGATTAATTCCAACTTAAAAAAACAGAAATAATTTTTATATTCACACCTAGATACAAATAATTAAAGTAGTGCTATTTGTTCTTGAAATTTAGTCAACTTCAAAATTAATAAAATGTTGAGATACAATCTTTCCCACAAGAAATTATATTAGTAAAAATATTTGAAACAAAATTTCATATTTAATATATGGGAAGATGTGTGAAATCAAGAAATGTTGAACAGATTTTAAAAGTAGCAAATAAAATAAAAACCCAAAACCAAGCCAACCAAAACAAGTATCAATTCAGTGAATTAAAGAATTCAAAGAGTTATTATATAAATTTAGTACTATTGATTTATATAGATGAGTTTGGCCTTAGAACAAAGTTTATTTGGCCTCTAGAAATATAGACATGGGCTTTAATAATCAAGGCATAATAATATTAAAAGGTCAATAATGCAAGAGGCTTGAAGCATATCTTAAAGAACTGATATTAAATTTCTTAGACTCATTATTTTCCTAAAATGTATGTCTAGAGTCCCTGAAGCTCCTCTAGTTGATTATGGGAAAAATAAAGAGAGTGTGAGAAATAAACTTTCCAAACCAGAACCCAATTTTTTTCCAAGCTACTTCACTTCGGTTTACCTCAATAAATAGTTGGCATAGTTGACAAAAAAAGAAATAGAAGGCATAGTGTTTTATTTTTTTTCTCTATATATTAGTTGGCCAATTAATTTCTATTTATAGTAGAGATGGGGTCTCACTCTTGCTCAGGCTGGTTTCGAACTCCTGATCTTGAGCAATTCGCCCCGCCTCAGCCTCCTGGAGTGCTAGGATTACAGGCGTGAGCCACCGCGCCCGGCCAAGCATAGTGTTTTATAAGAAAATTTTTTTCAATAGTTTGAATATCCCCATTTGTGTATGTTTTAATCAAATGTCTCAGCTTAATGTTCTCTCATTAAACTCAAAGAGTAAATGCAAATCTTAAAACAAAATGTTCTGGCATGGCGCGGTGGCTCACGCCTGTGATCCTAGCCAAGGATCCTAGCCAAGGGAGGCCAAGGCGGGTGGATCGAGGTGGGCAGATCACTTGAGGTCAGGAGTTCGAAACCAGCCTGAGTGAGACCCCGTCTGTACTAAAAAATAGAAATTAATTGACCAACTAAAAATATATATACAAAAAATTAGCCGGGCATGGTGGCACATTCCTGTAGTCCCAGCTACTTGGGAGGCTGAGGCAGTAGAATCACTTGAGCCCATAAGTTTGTTGCTGTGAGCTAGGCTGACGCCACAGCACTCACTCTAGCCTGGGCAACATAGTGAGACTCTGTCTTAAAAAAAAAAAAAAATGTTCTGACCAATCAATAATGATGTACTTGGTCTATAAGAGATTAACAAAAAGTATAAAATGTGGTTTCTACCCTTAGAAACATGGTCAAGACATGGTTAAGACTTAAAGATATATTAGCAAACTATATAGGACAAAATATGATTTAATGACAAATGGAATGCAAACTAAATGCTGTAGGAAATCAATGAAAGAGATACTAATGAAAATAGCATAATTGGTCAAAGTAGTCTGGAAAGACAAAATTTTCTTATTTCTATTTCTACCTTAAAAGAGACAAACCTGTCTGTTAGCTCTTAACAACAAAAATGTAAATACTTAATTTACTAAGTTTACCTACTAAATTTTATTAAATTGAAAAATTTCAAAAGTAGTATAAATATAAAAATTAATAAATTTCTGGACTTTCAGAACACATGTGCCTAATAATTCTTGTAGCGATAAGCATCAATGATACAATGTTGAAAAAGCAGCATATTATAAGAGAACCACCATGGGTTTAGAGTCACACATATATGGGCTAAATCCTGGCTCTACCACTTATTTGGCTTTTTGACCATGGGCACATTACTAAACCATGCTGAGTCTGTTTCTTCCTAAGTGAAATAAGGATAACAATAACTACTTCCTAGGATTATTGAAAGAGTTAATGAGATATCATATGTAAAGTAACCAGCACAATACCAGCCAGAAAAATAATCTGTGCTCAATAACTATTATAACTCCCACATTCAAACAAACTTCAATTATAGTCTTCAATTACCAAAAAACTAGAATGTTAACTTTGCTTTATGTTTTATTTCTCTCTATAAAAATTAATATACTGATCTTATATTTGTTAGTAAAAATATTTGGCTTCTAATTCTATAATAATTCTCATTCATTTTTGAGAATTTGAAAAAATGACAGACTTCTTCCCCACAAAATACCATATATACACACAGTAATTCATATCAACTTGGGAATAATAACAGATTCCCTGAAAGCTAGATTAAAAATTATGTTCTATCTTGCTATTTAAATTATAAACAAAATTAAATAAAATTGAAAATTCAGTTTCTCAGTAACACTGGCCAAATTTCCAGTGCTCCACAGCCACATGAGTTTAGTCATTATTGGATAGCATAGATTTAGAACACTTCCAGAATCTTGGCGGTTTCTACTGGACAGAGCTGTTCGCGAGTGTTATCGTGGTATAATAATTAAAATTATTTTTCCCTGACTCTGTTTTTAAATATCAGGATACCTCTCTCTCAAGTAAATGCCCAAGAGAGCAGAGACTGTGAATACGCTGCTCACAACTGAATCTACGGTGTTTAACACATAATGAGCATTCAATAGGTATCTTATAGTAGACATTATAGTTTTGTTTAGTTATATTAACTCAGCAAATATTGACTGAGTTGGTAAAGGCCAAAGCTGAAAGCTATGAATACAATGAATTAAGGGAAAAAAAAGTAGCAGGTCAATTTACAGGTACTCTCAACTGATAAACTCCCCAAATCAACAAGGGGTCCCTATATGCAGACATTAAATCTTGATTCATCTATACATACTGACTAGATCACTTAAATATTTAGGCCTTCTCCATAGCCTATTCTATTCAAGAACAGAAAAAAAGGCTTACTTATAGCTAACTAGTTTTATTATTCCTGTATGGGTTTTTCCTAGGTAGAACAGTTTAGTAATTTTTTTTAAAATTGTGTTTGTGTGTGTATCCACACACAACAGTTTAATGAAACATTTTAAAAATTCACCAAAGTTTTATAACTTAAAGATTATGGCATTAAGATTTCAGAAAATCTATTTCCTTTTAATATATCTTAAAGACAACTTCTGTTATATTTGGAACAGAAAAAGGTCTAATAATAATTTTGCACTTACACTGCCACATTTTTTCTAACGGTATATTCATCCAAATCGTCATCAGAGCTGCTATCAGTTGCATCAGAATCCAGACCCTCTTCAACATGAGACAACAGCCCTGTAGCAGACAGTGCAAATCTTTGGATTTCTGCAGCTGTACACTGTGCAAAGCCATTTTTTATATCATCCCATAATTTATTCTCTGCAGTCAATATGTTGACTTCTGGCTTAATTTCAGTGCATTTAGGTAAACTGTTACCCAAAATTGTGGTAGATTCATGAAAGATCTTCATTTTGGGGAGCTGATGTTTCATAGAAAATTTCATTTGCTGACCATAGTGCTTAACAACATGCTTTGCCAGGAGCATCTGCAAGTGTTTCTGAGTTCTTCTAGCCTGGCTAAGTAAACTTTTCTGTTTGCTTACACAATGAAGTAAACGAGCATTCACTTCCTCCTCTTTTTCAGCAGCTGATGAACTAATAGGCACATTTGAGTGGCCAGGTCCAATTTTCTTTTGAGTACAGTGAAATAAACTCTTTTTAATCTCAGCATCAGTAACTTTATCCAAAAATGCATTCTTTTGGTACCATTTACAGTTTTGCAGTTGTACTTTATCTATATTAGTGTCTTTAGTTACATTTGAATCCAAAATAATTTGTACATCTTTCATGCACTGGCTTGTGGTATCTGATAAAGGTTCCTTTTTGATGACCTCTTCAGAATGAGAATGACAGATTTTACTGAGCTGAATGTTGCTGCCATTACACAGTATGTTTTTCAGCTTATTGCAATTGGGCTCCCCTAATTTTTTTTGTTTATAATTGTCACTGTATTTATTTAATGTAGAATTAGAACTCATTAAAAGAACTGTCTGATAATGTTTTGAAGACTGAGGAGAGCCAAAATGTTTTAAATTCACAAAATTAGTATTAAGAGTAGGCTCGGGAGTCGGAAATCCCAGCATCTGAGAGAGAGTGTCTCCCTTTAGCTTTTCATCTACAGTTCTTGGACTTTCCATGCATAGCATCTTGTCAGACTCCATGGTACTTGGCAAAGATGAAAAGCAGATACCCTTTGCTGTTGCCTCCCTCAGAGCTGGGGTCATGGCGATTCCTGCAGATAATCACTGGAAACCTAAAATAATGTAAAAATAAATAATCAAATATCTAGAAAAAAGTTTTCTGCTTCTACTTTTTTTCAAAGGCAACAATTTTGATGTTTCTGACTAAAATATGAAAGGAAACAAACTCTTCATCTCACAATTCCCAACATTATCTCAACAAGGACTAAGCTATTCTTCATTCTAACTTTGGGCCAAATATCCAAAACTCCAATTAAAGCCTAGCACAATAAGTATTCAATAAATATTTGTGGATATAATTACATTTCAGAATTCCATTTTTTGACAATATTTAGTGGGAATAAAAAGAAAAAAATTCCAACCTAGAATCTGGTAATCATACTTGAAAATGTGATTTAATCCCATACTCTCCAAAAGTAAACATTACTTATCTTTATAAAACACAATAAAATGCTCCAAACTGAATTTAATCTTCACAACTTGAACAGTACTAATACTAATAACAAGAACTAATATATACTAAATAATATGTTTGTAAAAACACTTAAGTGAATTACAAACAAAAACATATAAATAGCTTCATAGCTGCTAAAAATAACCTAATAGTGAAAACTTGCCTTCTCTGCAATATGTATAAATTTTCGTGAAAAGGTATTTGCAATTTTTTCCCTTATCCTAAATTGGATACCCATCAATTTTCATTACAGAGGACATTACTCCTGCCTGGAAAATAGTGGATTCTGTGATAGATGACCACTAAAGATTAATCCCATAATTAAACAAATTTAAATATATTTTATCAAAAATATAAACCATATATTCTGATTCACAGGAAAAGGTAATCCAGTACCATTAAAAATTATGAATCATGAACAATTAGTAAAATTTTTTACATCATCAACAATTATAAGTTTGTAAAGGCAGCTAATAATTTATAACTATGACACTCCATAATTTTTGTTTCAACACACAATACTTCACAGTCATTTAAATAGGCACACTATCACAGTGCCTGTCCCCAGATGCTAGCTATAACTCTACTTCCCTCATTTCTATTTAAAAAAAACAAAACTCAGGCCGGGCATGGTGGCTCAGGCCTATAATCCTAGCACTCTGGGAGGCTGAGGAGGGAGGGTTGCTTGAGGTCAGGAGTTGAAGACTAGCCTCAGCAAGAGCGAGACCCCGTTTCTACTAAAAATAGAAAAAATTAGCCGGGCATGTGCCTATAATCCCAGCCACTCAGGAGACTGAGGCAGGAGGATTGCTTGAGCCCAGGAATTTGAGGTTGCTGTGAGCTCGGCTGACACCACAGCAGTCTAGCCCAGGAGACAGAGTGAGATTCTATCTCGAAAAAGTAAAAAATAAAAAAAAAAACACAAAATCTATAGCAGATTCTTTGCAAAGACTAGCAAGATTGACCAAGAAGGAAAAGAAAAGCACAAATATTTCTATGTAATAAAAACAATCGCATAATTACAAATGAAAATATGTGCAACATACATGTGTTTTCCTTCTGTTAAAGAAAAAAAAAATATGTGCAACATATATAATAGACAGATATAAGTATCTAGAATATATAAAGAACACCTACAAATGGGGCAGTCAGGCACTTCACAGATGAAGATACGTAAATGGTCATTAAACATATACTCAATCATGCTGGTAATGAGGGGAATACATATTAACAAAGCAAGAGCCCAGTTTTCCAACCACCAAACTGACAAAAATGTATTAAGTCTGAAAATATCACATATTAGGAGGATATGGGTAAACAAGATTTCTCTTATCTAGGGTAATCACTCCTCATGTACACGTTAATAAAATCTGGATACCTTTTATCCAAAAGAAAACGATTTCTCACATCTCTTGGGACCATAAATTGGTTCAGTAATTTGATCATAATGAAAAAAATGTTTGTCAAAGGTACAACAGAGCAATGCTTGCAATAGCAAAACATTCTTTCAAAACAACCTAGATGTCTTATAACAATGGATATAGATAATAAAACATGATGGAATACTATATCACAGTTAAAAAGGAATAACTTAGAGTATCAAGAGAGACCTCAAAAACAATATTAAGTTAAAAAGACAAAAGAAAAGTGCAGAATATATATGTCACAGTACCATATAAATATAATACACATTAAAGCCATACTGTTGGCCGGGCGTGGTGGCTCACCCCTGTAATCCTAGCACTCTGAGAGGCCAAGGTGGGCTGACTGCTCAAGGTCAGGAGTTCGAAACCAGCCTGAGCAAGAGCGAGACCCCCGTCTCTACTAAAAATAGAAAGAAATTAATTGGTCAACTAAAATATATAGAAAAAATTAGCCAGGCATGGTGGCGCATGCCTGTAGTCCCAGCTACTTGGGAGGCTGAGGCAGAAGGATAGCTTGAGTCCAGGAGTTTGAGGTTGCTGTGAGCCAGGCTGATGCCATGGCACTCTAACCCAGGCAACAGAGTGAGACTCTGTCTCAAAAAAAAAAAAAAAAGCCATACTGTTACAAACGTCCCTGGGTTATTGTAATCTATCTCCCAGGATAGAAATCAAAAGAGATCACCAGGCATAGCAACAAAGATAAAAAGTTTATTTAGCTTGTGCACAAGGGAGCTAGCACAGAGAAAGGAAAAGTTCGGGCTATTCCCTGAGGATAGTGTGGGGCTTGGTTTTATTGGGCTTTTCTAAAGGAAAGAGTTACCTCAAAGCACAGAGTTGGAGCTTAAACCTAACTTAAGCTCCTTAAATTGGAGTTTAAGCCTAACTGGGCCTATAGGGGCTCTGGGAAAGTTCCTAGCCCTCTAAAGCAGTAACTGTGGTTAGCAAGTTTTTGGTCTCTTGCTTCTAATTGGCTAGAAATTCAGCAAGCCACAGCTTGAATAAGGGACTTTTGGTAAGCCTCATCTAGAGCAAGGGGCCTCTGCTTCCCTCCTTTGGACCACATCAAAACAGGAAACCAACTAGTCTGCTTGCCTCAATAACATGTATGTATATACGTATGTATGTGTGTATGTGTTTACAAGAATAAAAAGGGAACCAGAAAAATATCACCAAACTTGCAACAGTAGTTGCATCAAGCAAATTCCATGAAACAGAACTAAGAGTGATGGTTTAAGAGAATTTGCATTTTAACTATTAATACAAAATTTAAGAAAAAGACTAAATGCAAAATAAATGTTAATGGTTGTTAATTCTAAGTGATAAAATTATAGATGCTACTTGCTACAACTCATGACTTAAAAAAAAAATTACAGATGTTTTCCTTTTTTATATGTCTACTTTACTACATAATGTCTCAAGAAATGTAGAGATTTCTGTAATAATCTTCCCCTAAATTCTGTATGTCTCAAAATTTATATACTTTTATATAATGCAGTAAATCTTATATTTACTATACAGTAGATTCCCATTTATCCTAAATTCAAAAAGAAAGAGAAAACAAAAATAACCAGATTTGCTTTTTTTTTTTTTTTTTTTTTTTACACTTTAACACTCTTTCAAGACTTATTGCAATTATTTTCTCTGCCTGGAAAGTTCTTTAGTTCAACTCAATGACCTATCTCTTCTAATCTATTAACATCTACAATGGCATACAGATTAGAAAGTAAGTAAAACTGTCTCTATTCACAGATGACATGATCCTCTAAAAAGAAAATCCATGGAATCTGCAAAAAAAACCTCCTAGAACCAATATAATGTCAACATACAAAAATCATTTATATTTCTACTCGAGGTCAGGAGTTCGAAACCAGCCTGAGCAAGAGCAAGAGCAAGATCCCATCTCTACTATAAATAGAAAGAAATTAATTGGCCAACTAATATATATAGAAAAAAATTAGCCAGGCATGGTGGTGCATGCCTGTAGTGCCAGCTACTCGGGAGACTGAGGCAGGAGGATTGCTTGAACCCAGGAGTTTGAGGTTGCTGTGAGCTAGGCTGACACCACAGCACTCTAGCCCGGGCAACAGAGTGAGACTCTGTCTCAAAAAAAAAAAAAAAATCATTTATATTTCTAAATACTAGAAATGAAAAATTGAAAATAGAAATTTTAAAAACAGAAATAATTCCAGTACCTCCAAAAATAGGTATAAATCTAATAAAATATGTGTTATCTATATACTGAAAAATAGAAAACACCAATGAAAAAAATCAGAGACCTAAATAAATAGTCCAATTCAATGTTCTCATGGATTAGATTATTCAATATCATAATGATATTAATTCTCCTGAAACTGATCTATAATTTTAAACACAAAATCTTCACAAGACTTTTTCCTGATATCTACAAGTTGATTCGAAGATTTATATGGAACGTCAGAAGAACTAGAAGAGCCAAAACACTTTTGAAAAGAACAAAGTTGAAGGACTCATGCTACCTATCAATTTACAGTAGCAAATATATTTTGGCCTTGACAAAAGGATGGACACATAGTGAGCCCAGAAACAGACCCACACATATATGGTCAATTGATTTTTTTTTTTTTTCAAAAGTGCAAAGACAATTAAGTGAAGAGTTAAGTTTTTTTAAAAAACAAATGGTTCTAGAATAACTAAACACCCATATGCAAAAAAAAAAAGGAATCCTAATACATACTTAATACCTTATATAAAAACAGTCAGATCTTTCAGAATGAATCATGAACCTAAATGTAAAATCTAAAACTATAAAACTTCTTTAAAAAAATAAGAGAAAATCTTTGTGACACTAAGTTATGCAAAAGTTTTTTGGACACGACACCAAATGCATTATTCATAAAAGAAAAAAATGCTAAATTGGATTTCCTAAAAATTAAAATAAATATTAAGATAAACTTTTAAAAATTATTTAAAACAGAATAGTTTGGGAGCCTCTGATACATATATTCAGAAGATATGTATTCAGGGGTTAGAAGAAATTAGATGTGCATTCTACTGAAAATCACTGAGTTTATCATTCAGGTTAATGATGAATAATGGTTTTGGCCACTAAATAGTTTTAAAGTCTATTTATTCTTAATTGGGTATTATTTCATATACACATATAGTGGATGGTTGGTTAAAGGCAGAAAGTATAAGGAGGAAAAGTGATTTGAAAAGCATAAAGTAGTAAATAAAAATTGCATAAATTCACCTCAAGATGGTTTCCATTAGTTCCATAAGCTGTATTCCACATAATCACAATTTTTTTTATAGCACTTAAATGTGTCTCCAGTATTTCAAAAGCCAATTTAAAAATAAGACAGTGAGAATAACTAGCTACAAGTAAAGCCATCTGGTTTTCATTTTGGGGCATAAAGACTATCCATACCATAACAAATTATTTATAGAGAAGTGTTCATGAATGACAGCTGACAAACTATTTCATCTTTCAAAAACAAAATAAAAATTCAAAAAGTATAGAAATAAGCCAGTTAACTTTTTTTAAAGCAGAAAATAAAGAAATAAACATTAAGTTATAAAAATAATTTTATCTATTTTTGGTAGATACTAGATTTTTAGTCTCCATTCAATATAATATTCAATCTAAAACCAAACACTCACCAATTTGGTACATTCACATTTTTATGAGGAACATTTTTATAGTATGTGATAGATACTATCCTAAGGTACTAGAGAAAGGTGGTGGTGAACATGACAAGGTTTCTACTCTCACAGAGCTTTCATTCTAGCTAATGATAGCTACAGAATAAAATAAGAAAATATTAGGTAAAAAAGGGTTCCATAAGTGTTTTTATGAAAATTAAACATAGTATACAACATGACTACATCGAGGTAGGAGTAAATTTAGATTTGTAGATGAGAAAAAGTCTCTCTGTTGGTGACATCTGCTCTGAGATCTGAAATGACAATAATAAGCTAACCAAGAATTTGGGATTATGTGCTTTCAAGCAAAAAACGATAACAAACAGAAAGCTTTAAAGTGGGAATAAATTTGGTGTGTTTGTGGAACAATGGCAAATATGACTAGAACATAATGAGCCAGAGAGAAACAGTTATTAAGATTAGAGATATAGATAAGTGCCAAACCATGGACATTTTGTGTATAAATCAAAGAAAAGCCACTAGAGATTTATGAGGGAGTAGCTTAATCTCATTGAAATTATTATTTTTTAAAAATTACTCTGGCTGTTCTATAAAGAAAAGATTTGTAATGGAGCAAGAATGGAAGCAGAAAGACCAATTAGGAAGCTATTGAAGTAATCCAAATGAGAGATGGTAGTGGTTGCTTGGACTAGTAAAGTAGTAGTAGAAATGAAGAAAAATGAATGAATTTAGAACATGTTTCAAGGAGAGTCAACAACACTTTTGATCATCAACACTTTGTAGGGCATAAGGAAAGAAACGAATCAAGGATGACTCCTAGAGGTGTTTGGCTTGAGCAACTTGGGTAGTCAGTAACTGCTATTTTCTGAAATGAGGCAGACTTGGGAATACAGAGTTCAAAGGAGAGAAAAATAAAAAGTTCTGTTTGGGAAGTGTTATTAATACTTTTGAAGTGTCCATCAGCCATCCAAGTAGAATAGCTATACAAAAAAGTCCAGTGTTTAAATGAGAAGTCATAGTTAGATTATTTAAATTTTACTTAAAGCCAAGGGACTAGAAGAGTTTATTGGGAGAGAGTATAAGCAAAAAGGAGAAAGGAGTCTAGGACCAAACCTGGAGGTTCACTCACATTTATTTGAGCAAAGGAGGAGGAGCTACAAAAAAGGATGGGCCCTAAAAGGAGACCGGAAAAGTTATCAGTGAGGTAGTGAGGTAGAAGAAAATCCAGAATTATATAAAATCAAGATACAAAAGTGTATAAAGCCTACACAGTCAGTTCTAGCAAATACTAGAGAGATCAAGTAAGATGAGAATAAAGAAGTAACTAATGGCATATTTTTAAGAAATCTGTTGAAAATTCTTGCTTTTTTAAAGTTAGATATAAATTAAAAAAATACCGAACCCCAACATACTCTAGCCTTCCACCTGAGAGAAGGGAAATACCCAACTCAAGCTCTTTCTAGCCATCCTATCCTACCTAAGGGAAGGAAAACTGAGAAGCACTTATGAAGTTCACAGCCCAGGAGCAAAGGCTCACTACAAAACAGACCTAATCACTGGACTATAAAATATCTCCCCTACCCTCACATCTTATTAAGTTCCATTTACTAAAGTTTCTTTTACTCAGTATGTCTAGCTTTGAACAAAAAATTACAGGGCACACTAAAAGGCAAAAAACATAGTTTGAAGAGACAAAGAAAACATCAGAACCAGATTCATATATGGCAGAAATGTTGGAATTAGCAGACCAAGAATTTAAAACAACTATGATTTAATATGCTAAGAGATCTAATGGAAACAATAGCCAATGAGCAATAACAGATGGAGGATATAAGATGGAAACTCAAAGAAAATATCAAAAAGAAATGCCAGAGATCAAAAACCTTCTAGCATTCTTCATTCTTCTAGAAATGAAGACTTCCTTTAATGGTCTCATTGGTAGACTGGATGTGGCTGAAGAAAGAAGCTCTGAGCTTTAAGATATATCAATGGAAACTTCCAAAACTTAAAGGGAAAAAGAACAAAGACTGGAGGAGAAAAAACAACAGAATATCCAAGAACTGTAAAGACAATTATAGGTGTAACATGTAATAGGAATACCAGTATGAGAAGAGAAAGAAGAAATATTTAAAACAGTAATGACAAATTATCACCTGATAAATGAAGCACTATATTATAATTATATCAAATCATATATAATAATAGTATACTTACAACAAATAATAGTTCATTTAAAAATTTTTACTAAAAATTACTTCATCACATATTTTTTCCAATAGAAAGCTGTATGAAGGTAGCTTTTGTATGTTTTCATTCATTGCTGTATTCTAGAATATTTTTGGCACATAGCAGACTCTTAATAAGTATTTCTTGAACACTATCCAAAATGATAAAATTACTTAAATTTTCAAGGAAGGAGGTTCATAAGCTTTTTTTTTTTTATCATGAAAGGAGTCCTAAGACAAAATAGTTAGGAAATATTAGTAGAATGTCACTGTCCTATAGATATATGTGAGCTACATAGTAATTTAAACTTGCTACTAGCCATATTTTTAAAAGTAAAAAGGGAAAATTAATTTAAATTTCATTTAACTCAGTATATACAAAATATTATGTTAACATGTAATCAATACAGAAAATGTTGATGAGATATTTTGCATTCTTCTGCATGTGTGTCAAGTCTTCAAATCCAGTGTTTATTTTACATTTAGCACAATCTCAATGTTGGAATAGCCACATTTCAAGTGTTCAATAGTCACATGTGGTTAGGGAGTACTGTACCGGCCAGTACAAAGCATAATAAAGTATATGGTCCCACTAAGTAACCAGGAATAAACTATCAACTACAGTATTTGAGTACCCTAATTTTTTAGCCAAATCTATTATTTAATATTTTTAGGCATCTTTAGTATTCTAGGCTATACAGAAAGAATGTGGAAAAGGCAAATCCTCAAAAAGCTTTCTGAAAAGCATCTTGATCTTCCTATTAATACTTCTAATTATTCATGTTTCAAATTACACACTTAATTGGGGGAGGGAAATATTTGAATCCTAGTTAAATCTAAATGTCTTTCCAGCTGTTAAAATACTATATTCTATTACTCTAGGTACCATCATTATCTTTGATGACTATTTATTTCCTATACACCTAAAATATTCAAGGCACAACAAGTCCCTTGTTGAAAAGAGTTTAGTCTAATGACATAGGAATTCAAAGAACCTGGAAGGGAGAAAACTGAGAAAAAATTAACCTTGTTTTTGTCATACAGAAACTAAAATATCAAGCTAACAGAATTTACAAAGCAAAACGGTAATGTAAGAAACTATATTAGTACTCTTTCAAAGAAAGCAACTAGATAATCTTGATTCTCTGTCAATAAGCAATAGTTCTAGATAATTCAAAAACCAATTATATTTCTTGGGTAGGAATTTCCCTTTTATGTTTTTACAACAGAATTTTCACCTTACATTCCAGTTCAACTTAAAAAAAAATTATTTAGCACATGTGCAGCCCAGAAATTTTATGGGTGGCAAAAAAACAAAAAAAGTGCAGTCTGTTAAAAAACGGTTACAGATAATCCACCATGCAAATAATAGTAAACAATCCAGATCTCAATATATATCCATTTTTCTTAGAAATCTCAGAAAAAATACCAAGCAGAGGAAGAATTTCAGTAAGATAAATCAAAATTTATGACTTTAAATAATAAACATTTTTTTAAACTACAATTTTTTTTCTTTTAGTTATATTAAATTTCATTATTATCAATGAAATCAAATTAATTCTGCAAAAACAATGGGAGATTGTAAAGTTAAGTTTATACCATATATTCTAAATTTTGGTCTACAATTTAATCCAAAGAACGTTCACTATGAATTAAGGAAGGCATCAGTTATTAGTTGTTGTGAAATTATACTACCTTAGTCCCCACCCTTTATTTAAGGTTTCACTTTCTATGGTTTCAGTTACCGGCCATCAATCGCAGTCTGAAAATAGGTAAGTACAGTACAAGATATTTTCAGAGAAAGAGAACAAGTGAGACTGTGCACAGATTCACATAACTTTTATGTATACTGTTATAATTGTTCCACTAATATTTTATTATTCGTTATTGTTAATCTTGCTATGCCTAATTTATAAATTAAATGTTATCTTAGGTATGTATGTCTGGGAAAAAACATCATAAATATAGGGTTTGGTAGTATCTGTGGTTTCAGGTATCCCCTGGGGGTCTTAGAACATATCCCCCAAGGATAAGGAGGGACTACTATACTACAAATTAAAGGCCTTGCCCTGTTGTCTCCAGAATGTTTCCATTAGTGGCTTAATCTGTATTTTTAATATTTATAAATCACTTGTATTTATGAAGTTAGCATTAATTAAATATAATCTAATCCCCTGGGATATCATGAAAAAGCTGTCATCCCTCAAAAGCTGCATGTACATACTAAGATAATTACCAAGTCAAAAATTACTAAGTTGGTTCAGACAGTAATCAGGCCTTTAGAAATTAATATATAGTGCAGAAAAGGAGGAAACTACACAAAGCAACAAAACAAAACAAAGAAATTAATATATAGGTCGGTCACATATTCCAAATAATTTTTTACAAAATTCCTAAAGAATAATAAAAAAAATCTGTTGATTTAGTCTACCTTCAGAGTGGAAACTGATAACTTAGATAAGCACTACCCTTCTTCCTAAGAATGTACATTAATGATTAAAATCCAAATCACAAAAAAGATTAAAAATAAAATCCAATTCAGAATTGTTATCCCCTAAAATACTGCTCCAGATTTTGATTATGATATGTATTCTAGAATGCATACATATAGTCCATGTAGTGTTCATGGAAAATAGTCTATCCAAACGTACCCCCTAAACATTAAATTTACTCTTTTAATTGGAATTTGTATAATCCTAGTTCTCCTAAACACAGAGCAATAAAAAAAAACAACAATAAAAGTATCAGAAAGAAAGCAGATTTATCCTTAAGTGAAGACATAGTGAAAAGACTACTAATAGTTTTTTGAGAGAGGAGAACCATGAAGTAGGATCAAATATTAAATATTATTTCCACACTTGGGACTTATACATGTTTCAGATTAGCTGACCCACACTAATAACAGTAAGAAAAAGAGTAGGAAGATAAATTCTTTCAACAAAATAGGAGAAGCCCTTTTAAACATTATTACTAAAATATAAGGAAGGGGACTCAAAATTTCTGATTCATAACACATAAAGGAAAAATCCAATTAAAACAACAAAAGTAAGGAGAATGAGCTCACATTGGTACAATTTAATTCCTCAAAAATACAGGAATTAATGGAAGGTAGGAATACAAAATACAGTGTTGTGTTTTCAAGATTTCTTTATGCCACTTCATGGGAATTCTCAATTTACAGCAGGAAACACTGTGGTAATTGGCATGACCAGGATATGGTTAACTCAGAACTTTGTATTCAATGATGTTTATAAGCAAGAACTTCTTCCACTTTGAAAACTATGCCTAAAAAGGAATTCTCTTTGAAGACTAAAGGAATTAAATTAAAGATAAAGCCACTTGGGTGGCCACATAATACATCAAACAGATCATACTTCAAGCAGAATTATTACTTTTCAGTTATAAGTGCATGACTCATAGGAATATAAATGAAGAGTCTTTTTGTGTGTGTACATCAACTTGGATCCAGAAATTTACATTGAGGAGTGCACTATCACATTTGCTCAGTCTATGTATCTTGACTTCAATTTACTTTCACATGACTAAACATTGATTAATGACCTACTACCAAATAAAAAACTTTTTTAATTATTAAAAATAACATATTTGAGAATTCTTTGTCTTATAGAACTGGAAACAAAGCTTTAATGTTACAAATGAATGAATAAAAAGTCATTACCATTTTAAAAAAATAACAAAATCTCAGTATTATAAATGGATTCATTTTCACATCCATGTAGAAATGTTTCTAAGAACCTAAAAATAACATCCAGTATTAAAACTTTCCATTATGAACTGTCTTCAGATTTTTATCACAGCCTGTCTAGTGGCAACTATAATATTATCATTTTTATTAACATTTGCTGAGTGTTTATTTACCCCACATGATTAGGGAATAAACAGTTTAGTGAAAAATCCCTACAGGAGAACATTTCAAAGAAAAAAAAAAGGCCAACAGGGTGGCTCAAGCCCA